TTTTCATCTTCTTTCTTTCCAGGCACTGGAGGTGGTGGTGGCGGCGGCATCAGCTTGGAATCAATATCTTCACAGTCAGCATCATAATCATCCTCGTCTTCATCTAAGCAGGTAGGAGACAAGGCTGGATATTAAGCTGACTACAAAGGGAGCAAAACAACCTTCCCATCTGTACTATCTCATATCTGTCCCAACCTGTTGAGAAGTCCGTCCCCCTTCATTAGCTGAGCAAAGAAGACCATTCTCATTTCTTAACTAAAACTCTTATCAGTTCAGCTTCCTTCACGCTAATTTGCAATATTGGAGCTTATGACACTTAAAGGAAACTTATGTAGGAACTTAAAAGAGAAAGCCACATGTTTGAAAATCCGCTTCTGCTGCACAGAGATCTCAGGCACCAACAAAAGAACTGAAGTGCTTTCTGGAGAAAAAGTGCTCTCCCTTGAAAAAAGAAATCAAAGGCAAAAAAGGAGAGGGGTTACGACTGATGTTACACTCCAAGGGGCCAGGACCTCTACCTTTGATTACCTCTGAGAAGCACCTGACAGCCTTAATAACTCTTTTCCTAAGAACAGAGGTTAAAGAAACATGAGCAAGAATTAGTGTTCTCTGCAGGAGATCTCAAAAGAAGGATGTTTGTTTCTCTTCTGAGTGTAGTTTAACTCCGATGAAGAACTCACTATTTGAAATAGGAAGATAGCAAGCAGTGGCTTTTTCTTGTGAACACTGTTTCACAAAAGCTTTTATTTTGCTTCTTGAAACAACGAGTGAAAAGGCACAAAAGCACCCATCAAGAGAACTACTGCTAATGCCAATTGCCCCAAAACACGCTCAGCTAGAGCTGTAATGTTCATCTCATTTACCTTGCCTTCCGATCGGCTGCAGGCTGCCCATTGCCTGCTTATACCGACGGCTTTCATCTTCTGCCACTTCATTAATATCTGAGTAATCAACAGCATCTTCTGTGCTCTTAACCCAACCTATGGAGAAAAACATCTGATCAAACAAAACATTACCCCTATGTACGTTACTCATGTCCGACTTCACTATACACTCTACGCTTCCTTTTTCTTACAGGAATAAAAACATTTAATTTACTTTTCACATGAGAATATTTTCTCCCCGTTCCAACCAAAAGCTCTGAATTTCTCCTACAGACTTACAGGAAGCAAGCTTTAGCACAAGAAGTACCTTTCACTTACCCAATGAAACTGTTAGAGAAGCTCACGAACAAATAAACAAACATGACGTATAATAACAGGCTATGCATTAAATAGGCTTGAAGCGTTCAACACAAGAGTTTAACACAGGGGAAAACACTTTATGAGGAAAAGAAAAGGATAAGATGGAAAAAGCTAAAACTTGTAGAAGAGAATACATGCAACGGGGAACAAGTGATAAGATGGGATTCATTCTGATAAGAAAAAGAAAGAAAGGCCTTTGCCAGAGAACCTGTCACCAGGCACCATGCTACTGCTTGCAGCCCAGCCGACCCAGGTGCAGCCTTTCCTCTCCTCTGACACCACCGTTCAGCCGCAGGTACCCCACAGAACCACCAAGTCCGGAAAAGGCCTACAAGTCCACCCGGTCCAACCATCCACCACCGCAGTGCCTGACCTTCCTCATCCAGCTGAGCTCCGTCAGCCTCCGCGCTCTCGTCCTCGCTGGCTGTGATCTCAGTGATCAGGTTGCCCAGTCCGAGGGCACCCAACCCGGCCAGGTGCTTCTTGGATTCCTGGAGAGACCAGAGCCACGTCCCAGCATCGCGGAGGCTCCTCTGCCTCCCCCGCCCCAGCCCGGTGCCGCCAGCCCCCGCTCGGCCCCCACCGCCCCTCCGAGGCCTCCCCTCGGCACCCCTCCGCCGTAGCACGGCAGCCGGCCGCTCTACCTTGTCGAGGACGCTGTCCCCTTCGAGCTGCCCGGCCTCATTGATGTTGCCGAAGAGGAAGCCGGCCAGCGAGAACGGCTCCGCGCGGCCGCCATCCGCCTCCTCCTCGCTCTCCGAGTCCGACATCGCGGCGGCCGGGCCGGAAGCGGAAGTGGGCGGTGCGCCGAGGGCGACGGTGCCGCGCAGAGCCCTCGAGTTTTCGTGCATTCGCAGCGCCCCCTGGCGGCCGCACCGCGCAGACCTCCGAGCGGGAAGCGAGAATTAATGAATTAACGAGAGCCAGATGGATGAGGAAGGTTTTTATTACCATTTAATTTTTTTTTTTTTTTGCATAATTTAAAAACGAAAAATCTTTAAAAACTGTTAGCTGTAATACAAATCCTTTTATAGTATAAAATCAAGTCGCCAGTGTATGTATCAGTACCAGACGCAGAGGCGCGGGGCCGGGGCGCGGCCAGCCCGCAGCGCCCGCTCCTCCAGGCGAGCCCAGCGCAGCACCGGGGTCCCGCAGAGCGGGGTTAGCACTCAAGCGGCGAGGCTGCTCTAGTATAAATCCCACAGAAATAGCTACGGCTGTAAACCAAGAAAGCACTTCTCCATCCGAACGCCCTCAGAACAACACGACTGCTGAGCTGCTGGAGGCGGCGTGCACGGCCACAGCTGTACTGCAAGGATGCCAAGCGTTAAAGGAATGGTTTGCGAGCTGAAAGATTAAAGGTGGTCTTCTGACACAAAGCCTCTTGGTGAGCGATGGCATTCAGAGCGCATTTCCATGAAGTAAACAGAAATCTTGGATGGTGTGGGAAACTCGATCTGGGGTATCCCGACCTGCTGCCGACAGGGCGCAGCCGTGTGATTGTGTGAGATGTGGTTGTCACCTGTCCACAGGAAAAACAATGCCTGAGGAGCTGAGGGAATGGATTGTAGACTGAAGCACTGCACTACGTACATTAAAATGCACCAAGAGGTGGAGGAAGAAAGAAAAGAAAGATCCTAAACGGAGAGAATGCCCACTGAATGGAAAAGCTCAGTGCGTCTGTGTGCTGCCGGAGGTCGTTCTCGTGAAGAAGAGATGCTGGAAGAAATGAGCCGTCAACCAGCAGGAGCTTTGCTCCCAACAGGAAGGCACAGACATGCAAGGCACCTAAAGGACTGCTGATGAGGTACTCTGAAATCCGGAAAAAGTCTCTGAAGTCCTTCCAAGTTCACTTTCTGCTCAGTTCCACCTCCGTTGTGTCCACCTCCTCAGTACTGCTGTGCAATCTTTCCGTTAAGTGATCGAGACGGGGACAGAACGTTCTAGGAGAGCATCATCAATAACGTAACCCACTGAAACGAATTGCTTAAGCAGGAGGATTTCAGCACACCATACCCTCTTCCAGTTCACACCAGGACGGCTGCTCTGCGAGCCCACAGAACTGGGCTGTGTGCAACCAGAGCTCCTCACCTGCACAGTGTCTGCCATCCAGCCACGAATAGCAGAACTAAGAGATTTCAGTACGTCAAAAAAGTAAAAACTTCTAAAAACAGTAGTAGCTTCAGTACAAAATTGCAAATAAAAAGAGGTGCCTGTTGTTGACATTAAAAGCCTATTTAAGAGCAGTTAAAACATATCACAAAGTTGTTAAAGTACATCTGAGTTAAGCAAAGGTTACGGGCTTGCACCAGGGTAACTAGACTGATGATAAAGGCCTGACCTGCATTACAAAAACATGTGCACTGGCTTAAATAAATATATTTTAAACATGATAAACTCTATTTACTCAGTTACTGAAATTTACCTACAGAAAATAATCTTGCATTACAAGGCACAGGATTAATTGCTGCCAGCTCGTCAAGCCCACGCTAAAGGCCTACTACTAAAAGGCAGAACGTGGTGAGTAGAGGTCACCTGGTGGAAATGCTCCTGCTCCCTCCTGCAGGTGGAGCCACATCTGGAACAGCACTTCTGCAAGTGCCAAAGGTGCAGCGACATCCCAGACAACGGCACCTGGTGAAGGAAACCACGCACAAGTCTCCAGGTTTCTGCAGACATTCACGCACGACAGGCAACTGGCTGCTGCCTACCCATCTTAGGGACTCAGTGGTGCTTTACCAGCCACATCCATTTGGGTTCACTGCACTTGCTACCTATGGGTTGCAGATTGCTGAAGCAGTACTTGTAGGAGCATACATCAGAGACATAAAAGTTGCAGTTAGTGTCAGCATCAGTTACACCAGCTGAAGGCACATCCTCTTCAGAGAGGGGAATCAGGGCACAAATATGAACATATCTACCCCTTGTTCTGGGTTCTGGTTGGTTGGTTTTTGGGTTGGGGTTTGGTTTTTTTTTTTGGTATCAGATAAAGCAAGGTCAGATGAACTCAAGATCCCTAATAACCTTGTTGATATATTTCTCTTGCTAAAATTAGGCTTTTTTTCTGCCCAGGGTATCAACAGTGCAGTTTCACATGTGTGAGAATCACAAGGATGCAAGTTCTGAATGACCAACGGAGGCTGCATCTGGACAAAGACAGCACTGTCAACCTCAGACAACAAAGCCCAGTCCAGCACCATTGGTTTCATACAAAGCATCTTTGAAGCATGCTGCTTTCATGCCACCAAGCTCTAAGGTTAAGACTAAGGAAGGTTTCATGCACTCGCTCCTCAGCTGGTCCCAGAATCACACACAACTAACAGAGTACATCCTGAAAATCACAGCCAGCTGCCACTCAGCACAGCTGCTAGAGAAAGTTAGAGAAGTACACAAATAGCACTTCCATTAAAACAGGGAGAAAATTGCCCAGGTAAATCTATCCAGTGACTGACTACCCACGGCAAACTTAACTGCAACTGCCAGGAGAAACCCATGTTTCTGTTCCCTGTAAACAGAACCTCCACAATTTCTGTCAATGATCTCCCAGAAAAAAAAGGAAAGAAAAAAAAAAAAAGAACACAAGGATTTGCTATGAAATGTCAGGTGGTGACTCCAAGAAGATAAAGTGAAACAATGAACTCTTCAAAGAACAAATGGGTTTCTACCCGAGTCTCTGGGAATCATCAAAGGGAGAGCAGGATCACACTGAAAAAACTCACTCTGAGAATAAGAGTCATCTCAACTATCTCAGTCAGCCCGGGGAGGTCATTTTAACTTTATTCTCAGGGTGCAAAGTCTCTTTGAAGAGTGAAATAAAGCCTTAACTTGGTTTAGGAGATTACGGAAGGCTTGCACCTAATCTGCTCCCCATTGCAACAGCACTAAAATCTCTCATTTGAGGGATTCATCATTATCCTAAGTTCCTTACAATAGGAATTTGCTTCTATTAACAAAATACTTGCAGGTGTTGCCTAGGTCTCGCTTATCGGATTAGATCTCTGTTAACTCTTCACATAAATGATCACAGTTCACTTCAAGGCGAATCTCAGTAATATTTCTGGCATTTTTGTATGTAAACAAGTTGTTTTCAAGCTCTGAATTGGCAAAATACAACAAATGCACAGCCAGATTTCCATTTGCCAAACCAGTTTGATCTGTAAATAAGAAATGGGAAAAACAGCACCTAGACTTAAAGCAAAGTTACCAGAACTTGTGCCTTGCAGCAAATCTAGCAACTGGTGGCTATAAAGTAAAGAAGTTGGGCTTCAGAGAAGTCCCTTCCTTTGTTTCCCTCCACTAAGTAAGAACAGAAGCCAAGTGATCCCTGGAGAAGCTGGAGACTGGAGCTTCAGAAATTAAGTATATATTTGACCTCTCCGCTGGAAAAAGAAGAAGAAGTTTTGTTTCAGTTTCCCTGAAGCAATAAGATTGCAAGAATATCCTTTGCATAAACCGTTTCTGCTTAGAGCTGTTAGTGCAAGACGCAAATCTTCAATTTAACGCGTTAAAAAGCCCTCCAGAATTCGAGTCACTGTTCCACTTCGAGCATCCATCAGCCGAGGTAACTACAATAGGACACATTTCCTTGTGTTCTTCTTTGTCACAGGATAAAGAACCGCACGCACAGCTTCAGCAAACACCTCCCGAACGCCCTCCTGATTCAACGCTGAGCACTCCAAATATTTGACCGCTCCAATCTGTTTAGCCAGCGAAGTCCCCTGTTGTGGGGTAGTGGGAGCCAAGCTTTGCTCTTTTAACTTTTTAACTGTTTCCAGGTCGTTTCTCAAGTCTCTCTTCGTGCCCACTAAAAGAATGGGAACGTTGGGACAGTGGTGAGAAACTTCAGGATGCCACTTGTGCCTCACGTTCGCGTAGGAGGACGGGCTGCCGATGGAGAAACAGATGACAAACACATTGGTTTGAGGATACGAGAGCGTGCGCAGACGGTCGTATTCCTCCTGGCCTGCAGTGTCCCAGAGGTTCAGGCTAACCGTCCGGCCATCCACAGTCATTTGGGCACTGTAGTTGTCAAACACAGTGGGGATGTACTCTTCTGGGAAGGCATTGGTGGTATAGCTGATGAGGAGGCAAGTTTTTCCCACAGCGCCATCGCCAACAACAACGCACTTTATCGTCTGCATTCTTCACCCAGTCACAGAGTCCTGCACAAAGCAAGAAGACAAGTCAGGAGAAGCACTGCACGAAAGTCATGTTAAAGAGATGCTTTCGCAAGTGCTTTTAACATCACTGACAACTTCTTATCGCAGCAGACACGCTCAGTGCCTCGGAAGCCATAATGAAGAGCTTGGAGGCCAGGAAGACGATAGCGAAACAGAGATGCAACAAGTTGAAAGCTCTGTGACAACTGGCTGCTTTCCAACCACAGAAGTACAAATTAGCCAAATTCCCACAGCCCTGCCTTACGAGCAGACAGTTTCCCACAGGCAAAAGAGACAAGGCCTTGGGAAGTACCTGCAAGCAGAAAAGGAGCGTGGCCTCAGGCCCTGTAACAACATACCCTCTTGCTGCTGGGAAGCCCATCCACACACACTCTACATTCACACTTCCTGCCTACATACTCGACTTCCAGTCAGTTTATCACAAAGAAAAGTCCAAAAACGGTGGAGTAAGCCAAGACAACAGTTGCTGGGCTGCACTGTTGCTGTTTACTCCAGTAATTCACTCAACTCACAATCAATCAGACCTCGAGTAACTGCATTATTCAGGATGAGAAGTTCACACAATAGCATGCACAAGAAAAGCTGGTTTTTGAAACGTAACAAGAAATGGTATCCAGATTAGTATACATCAAGAATTTTTCCAAAGAAGCCAAGAACAGATTATTCTCTCTAATTGGTGACAGAACAAGCAGAACTTAATAGGCTTGAAGTAAAATAAAGAAAGCTTATATGGAGCATTAGAAAAAACACATTGTGGAAAAGACCAGCGACCAAACAGCCTTCCTGGGCAGGCTGTGGAGATGTTTCTTGAGATACTTATCCCTTAAAGGCTTTCTTATCTTGTTTCTGATATGTGAAGAGTAAGTTTCACCACTGAATGCATGCAGCCCAAACCTCAATTCATTGTAGGCACTTCTTACAGGAACTTTCAGGTACTTGTTCCACAGTGCTTATGAACACCTACAAGCACAGTCCTTTGCTGCACATTTCTGTGCTGGAGCTTCCACTGCTCGCCTGAGCAAGAAAGAACTTGCATCTGCCTTCTCACCCAAATGCCTCTGGGGGTACTATCAGTAATCCCAGCACACAACCTGCACTAAATATGTTGCTTCAAACAAACAAACAGTGGGAGGAAATATATTGCACGTTCCAGCAAAATCACAGCTCCAACAGCATCCACACAGCGCAGGGAATGTGCGAAAATAAGCAAGTCAAGTACTTCACTAATAAAAAAAATAATCACAAAATTCCTTCCCTCCAACCTCCCCTTCAAGGCCATTCAAACAAATCAACAGCTTGTGACTATTAAATCTAGCTTTGTCCCTTCTGACACAGCCTGTACCTATATACTGCTATCTTCCCACTGGGAGCACACACGATTCCTCTGTGCTAGCTGGAAATAAACTGCCTTAAGCTTTGGCACTGCAACAGGCAACTCTGGAGAGTGATGCTGACTTTGGTTACCACAACACACAGTGCTTAGGGAGGTATCAATGTGTACATACTTGCTATTCAAAAAGCAATTGGCTGTGGGAAGCAGCACAGAAACCTTGCACCAGAAAGGCTCAGCGGGATACGTGATGGGACTGGAAGAAACAAGCAGGAGGAAGACATGGAAGCAGTTTTTCCTTTTTGAAAATGGCAGGAATGAAACTCCTAAAACATCATCAAATTACCTGAAATGCAATCTGGCAGGTACTTCTATGCTTTGGAAGAAAAGCACACGTGTGCATTTCATCAGACATCAAAAACATTGGTCACCCCACTTCAAGGCTACAGTCAAAAGTAAAGAAATACACACACAATTTGAAATAGTGAAGGTAATCAGTGAGAAGAACAGCACTGACCAGCAAGAGCCAACAGCAGGACCACATATATTATTCCCAGTCAGCTGCACCAAGATTTTCATTTAACGGGGCTAGAAGAAAGAAAGGAAAATCTGCCAAATTAGAGGCTTTAAAACATTCACTGCATTTTGCAAAACCCAAGGTAAAAACTCTATTAAAAATACAAGTGCTGTAAGCATTACAAATTCAACACTTTTAGCACGTTACCACGAATAGGACGAATGCTGCTCCCAGCACTGAGGGCCCAAGCCTTGTGCAGCTGCGAAGAGAGGAGTGCATCTGAATGTGCTGCTGTGCCCAACCACGCAGCTGCAGCCCACTGGCCTCATTCAGCTTCCGTTCCCCCTCGAGGGCAGACCACAACCTGCTCTGACACACTGGTCACCATCCCAGCCCTCACACATCCCCAGGGCCGCGTCCCTGCCCAGCAGGCAGAAAGGCTGAGCAGTGCTGCCACCCGCTGTGCCGAGCTGAACCGGCAGCTCTGGTGCGGCCGAGGCAATGGGGGAAAAGAAGCACAGAGCAGAGGAGCCCCATCGCTGCTATTGCTCTTTTTGAAATGCAACCCACGAGCTCCCCCGAGGGCTCTCCTCTCAATTGTCACACAGATCTCACAGGAAGGCAGGGCAGCCCAGCATTGCATCACGACCTGCCCGCAGCGTACAGCGATGCTGCAGAGGCTCACTGCACCACTGGTGAGACACAGCGTAGGCAGTTTCACCTACTGGTGCACCATAAGGTCACATCACCTCATGCTGTCGTTACATAGAACAGCTTCATTCAATCTCATTTCAAATGTTCTCCAAGTCCAAGATTATTTTTGTTGGGTCTTTATTTAAGAGGTGATTGGAGCTTTCAGTTTGGAACACAGCGGTAAGGTAACCAAAAAGCTGGGAGGATGAATGCTCTTACTGCATTCATATCTTGAATTATCTGACTGGAGCTTCAATTTTAGGAGAGCAACAGTTGGAACAGGAAGCAACTCCATGCAAATGTGCCAAAGCACCGGGCTAAGTATGAATTACACAAAGATGATTAAAGAACCTGTGGGCTCTTAAGTATGCGTCCCTGCAGGGCTCCTTTCAAGCCCTCTTAGCTGAAAGGAATCGTGTGTGGCATTTGCAGACAGAGAAACAAACCCAGGCCAAGGTAGAGGAATTAGCAGTGAAATACTGAATTCAGAGAAATTAACCAAAAGAAAATGCAGAAGGCAGCTGACAGCCTGAGAAAGCTGCAGGCTGTGAGCAGGTGTAGTGAGAGTGAAATTCCACGTACAGTGGGTAAAAAAGGAGAACTGAAAAGAAAAAGAAAAGGGGGGGGGAAATACAGATGAACACATCAAAAGCAAGGCTCAGAATAAGGCTCAATATAGAAATAGAAAGGCACAAGCTTCAAAGTGAAGTTTAAAGGTTACTTGGCAAGGGAAAGGAGTCAACAGAAAGTCCAAAGCAGTGAGAGAAGTAATTCTGGTTGCTTCACCGTGCCAGAGAACGCACCTTGATTACAGCTTAGGCAGGAGATCATCAGAACATGAGGAGTCCTAACAGTTATGGCAGAACGGGAATCATTTTGAAGGAATCAAGAAAACAAACATAAAATCCAGCACCCCACAAAGCAGCGCTGCACAAAAGCACACAGCTGAGTTCTTTCTTCCTTCTTCATCAGTCTCCCCCAGTTTCCAACCTGGCATTCCAGTTCAGGTTAGTTTTCTTCTCAGAGGATACAGCAAAGCTGTGCTGTGTGTCTGCACACCTGGTGCCTCCTTTGGAATGTGCAAGATCTCAATCTGCGTGTTGAGGCATTGTCTGCAGAGCTGTTCTGACCTCATTCCACATTCTCTGCCGTCCTCAGTGAGGACAGCTCTGCTCCTCCACGTCCCCACAGCCACCATAAGCAACATCACTCAACTCCTCCGTGCTACATCAAAACGTTGCTGAGGGAAAGAAACAACTTCTAGACCTTCTCTTCAGTACTTCTGAAAGAAATTCCCTCTCCGCTGAGAGAAGGGAGAAAAAATAAATGACAAAAGACAGTAAAGAAGAACCTGAGCTCTTCTGGGAGTTTCTAGACTCACGGTTTTTTGTAATACTTCCTGCACTTTGAAAAATTCTCGGAATGGGGAACTGTTTCGTAGCAGGATGTCTCTGCCCTCGCTGCCTTAATGCTGAATGCCTCTTCTGGGTGGATTTAACTTTGATCATTGCCCTTTGATAACCTCATTTTCATAGAGCTTGTCAGGTCTTCAGCTTCTCTTTTCAGTTTAGACGGGCCCTACTTTGGCCAAACCACGTGCAGAAGAAGCACTGGGAGCGCAGCAGAAGTCGCCTGCCCTGAGCTGCTTTGTTCTGTTCAGCCACCACCTTTGTTCAATCCCTCCCTGTTTTGCAGCCACACAAGTCTCACACTGTGTTATCAGAAGCAAGCAGAAGTCCAGAAATCTAAACAACTTAATTGCTCATCTTCCAGTAACACAAACTAGATCGGAGATGATTCATGCTGTCCATGGGAGAAATCAGGGAGAACCTTTCAGCAGCAAACTGGGAGGACGAGGCAGTTTGAAACTACATCCTACCACCCTCACCCATGCAAAGGAGTCTGTAGGATTTCTGATCTGTGTGACTTAGCCACCCGCTCTGACAGGACGGATAAAGGGGCTTTCAGCAGCCTAATCAAGGCTGTGTTCCTATTCCATAACAGCTCAGTTTACTCTCCATTGTTTTAGGCAAGCGCCAAACAAGTGGACAAGTGCCAAACTTCCAGCGTGCGTGCCAAGAAAGAGTGAAAAAAAGGCTAAATAGGAGATCTCATCCCTAATGCCCCCACCACTGCTTCAGCAATGAATGACCTACTTGGACTTCTGAATGCCTTTCAAAGTTGTCACGCTGCTTTCTGTCCTCCCATTTACCTGGCCACTCAACACAGCAGCCAGAGCAGAAACAGAGAGGGGAAAACGTGAAGCAGGCGAGGATTTCAGCAGCGCAGCGGGAGCCTGCAGCCCACGAGCCTCTTCTGTGCACAGCAGGACCAAGGGAGCTTGCTTTCTGCAGCTTTCCACCTTCAGGTTCAGTCCCATGCACACACTGCTGGCATCTAACATGAGCAGTTATCACTGTTTCTTCTTTCAGTGCAAAGGCCTTCCTCTTCTTTATACACACACAGGTTTCAAAACCAAAAGAAACTACTCAAACCCTCCCATGTAACGTTTTGAAGATTAATGCCCCTGTCAAATTGGGGTGGAATCGGATTATCTGCTGTTTGTTTGTTTTCCAGGGATGAGATACAAGCTTTGCAATCAGCATTTCTTAGGGAACTGTGGAGAAAACTTTGTAACCTTGTTCCACAGGAGCTGTTTGAGCGCCTCAAGCACACAAATCTCAATACATCAGTACCCTTACAACACAAATTTTACGGGCACATGGCATGAGCAACCAAATGTCAACAAGCTTAAGTTCCTCGTAGCCAAGATTGCAGTTCATTAGAAAGAAGCCAATAAAACAGCTGCACAGCTGTGAAATAACACTGTGCTGAGGTGCAGCTGTACAGGAACTCCAAACCAGAACATCTGTAGATATCTAAATCCCCACTACATGAAAACAAAAACGTATGCTGCCGTAATCAGGAGCTGCAGGGTATTAAAAATGGTTTTCCTCCTACAGCCACATACAAAAGCATGGATTTGTCACACGTGCCTTTCAGAATGTATTTAAACACGTACGAGTGATGTGCTTCATGATAAAAGGTGTATGATCAGGACTGCTGGCTTCACACAGCTCAGGAGAAGTGAGCTGGTCCTTTCCACCCTCTGCAGATGTGTTCATTACAGATGGCTTAAAAAATAAAGAGCAAAAGGCCTCAGAGACCACCTGGGTGAGGAGAACCGACCACACTGCTGGATAAGGAACACATCCAGTTACAGCTTCCCTCATTTTCATTTGAGGTGGGGGAAAAACAAACAACAGCAACACTGTCTGCTTTCCTATCATCTTTTGTCACCTGGCGTTCAATGACAGAGCATAAACATTTTATTTTGAAGAAAAGTTGGAAGAAAGCCACTGCTTTCTGTATCAGAGGGCAAATGCGTCCACTGGGAAAACCTGGCCTTTTTCCTTAAAAAAAGCCACTCGCACCTCCTTGATTCCCTTTTGTTTTCTCTGTTTCTCCTCCTCCTCCACCCTCAAATTTCACAGGGAAGTAAAACAAACAAACAAAATGGCCTTGCTCAATCAGCAGTAGCCTTCAGAAGCCTCTTTAAATAGCCTTGATACAACTAAGACACAAGTTAAAGCACACAGCACGCGTGTGTTTGATCATGGCTACAGTATTGCAGTACCTGCCACTCGTTTGCATCAGCTGCTGTGCTTCTAAACAGGCAGCAGAGGTTCTAAGTGACAAAGGAAGCTCTCAGCCATCCATCAGACCTACACAATTAGGTCTGCAAAGCAAAGATAGAAAAGACTCCTCCTGCAGACGTGAAACTTCTCTAACACACGGCCTGAAACAGCACGACAACATTCAGCACTGTGGAAGAACCACCATCTCATCACACAAGCAAATCAAACTGCACGTTCGCTTTCTTCTCACTAATTGCAAACCACAGACTTCATTCCAACATCTCCATAAGATTCCGCTGACAGAGAATACTTCAAAGCTTCTGTTTTGAATGGAAAAGCCAAAATGACAAATCATGCCTCCCAGCCATAAGTTCTCTACGGAAAGCTGAGCATACGTGAACAGTGACAAACCAGGCAGTGCTGGTCTTCGTGCCCAGCACTGACTGCATGGCAGAGAAGAGGACTTGAGGCACTTCGAGCCATGGTTGATCCCAGCACTCAGTGAGGCAGGCACAGGGAGCACAGGATGCACGCAGCAAGCAGAGGGCACACAGAAACGGAGAGCAGCACGTAAAGACCGTGGGTTACGAGCTAAAGATTGAGTTACGCTCACCACAGAGAGCTCCTTTGTCGGGACAATACCTGAAAGCGGCCAGCGCTCCGTGCCGGCAGGGCGCGTCGAGGCCGCGCTTCCCTCCCGCTTCGAGCTCCTCGCGGGGCCGCAACGCCGCCGGTCGTTGCGAAGGGACCGAAATTCAGCTCAGCTCCGGGGCCCTGCGAAGGAACGGCCCGCAATCGGCGGCGATGAGCGCGGCGCGGCCCCGCGGAAAGCGGGGAAAAGCGGCGGAGCGGAGCGGCGCGGTGCAGCCGCACTTCCTGCGCACCGCCGGGCAGGAAACCGGGCCGGAGGCTGCGAGCGGCTCCGAAACACCGCAGCTCCGTCCGCTTCCCCTCCTCGCAAACCCCCCGCTTTAAGCGATTCGCCCCCCGGCCCGCAGCCCGCTCCCCCCCCTCCCCAGCCCTGCATTTCGGAGCCGCTCCCGCCGCCCTTCAGCCGGCGCCGCCCCGACGAACGGCCAGCCCCGCGGTGACAGCGGCCGCCTCCCGCCCTCCTTCCTT